GTTACCCCGAGCGACGGAGCTACACCGAAGTAATTCTGCAGTGTGGACCGGGGCTGAGCCTCCTGCCACCCCCGGACCCCTGTCCACTGAGCCAGACCCTGGTACTGACGCGCCCAGCTCGGCCCTGCAGGGACACCCGGCAGCCTGGCCCAGCCGGAGCAGGTGTGTTAGTCTGTAGCCAGGGGGCTGCAGGATCCATTCCCTGGCTCTGCCTGTCTGTCAGTCAGTCCCAGCGAGAGCTCAGCTCTTAACACAGACACCTCCTGGCATCTCAGGCCACTGGCCCCCGGAGCCCCAGGCTGGGTCACGGGCTCCGCCTGCAGGGGATTCGTTCTGTCCCTGAGGCTCCCCTTGTGCTCTGGGATCCTCCGTCCGTCTGGCTGGCTCCACCCCATGTACCCCCACCCTGATGGTCACATGACCCACCCCACCCCTGTCTCCCGCTCTGCCCACTGGGGAGCAATCCCCTATCCAGCCAGGCACTGCCAGGCTCAGGGGTCACCCTGACATCACAGGCAGGCCCCACGTGGGCACACAAGGGAGGGTTTCTCACTTACCCCCAGGGCAGGGCCCCCCAGCGGAGTGGAGTTGGAGGGCAGGGGGAGGGTTGGTCTCAGCTGTTTTCTCTCACCTGTCTCAGAAGAAAACAACCTGAAATTCACCAGAATGTGAGCAGCACCCAGGCCCACCCCTAAGTGAGCTCACCCCCCCAGCAGCCCCCAGATCCCACCCCACCCCAGGGACCCCTATGTCCCCAGCAGTCCCCAGATTCCACCCCAGGGACCCCTATGTCCCTGGCAGTCCCCAGATCCCACCCCACCCCAGGGACCCCTATGTCCCCGGCAGCCCCCAGATCCCACCCCAGGGACCCCTAACTCCCCAGCAGCCCCCTCCCAACTTCCCCTTTGCATCCCCCACATTGTGGTGCCCAGTCTCCTGCTGTATTTGGAGCTTTGTCCCTGGCACATTTCTTCCCGTCTGAGCATCTCTGCTGCTGTACGTGCCAGGCAAGGGACCAGGAGCCGGACCAGCGTGAGGGGCCCTGGCCTAGGGAGAAGGTCCCAGCTTCACTGGCTAAAATCCAGGTAGGACGGGGGCCCAAGGCTGCTCTGGGATGGGGGACCCATGGAGATCAGGGGCCCTGGCATGCAAAGCATCAGCCAGCTCTGAGCAGCTTGGCCCCGCTGCATGCTGGGATCTGCAGTCTCCCCCCACGTCTAGCCATGAGCTTCTGCAATCCGCTTCCAGCAGCGAGCTTTGGGTCAGGGCTCAGCCTCGCCCCGTGCCAGCGAGTGACTCCCACCAGCGCACCAGCTGCCAGGCCGGGCAGACGGGGTCACTCTGCGGGGGGAGTGGCTGGGAGCTCCAGGGCGTTTGTTATCAGTCACTCGGGCATGAACCTGCAGTGCCATCTGGTTAATGAGCCTCCTGCACATTGAGACGCTCTTATCTCCTGCTGTCGCATGCGATGCCAGTCCCTGCACCCCATGGGCAGGGCTGCCTCTGGGCTCCGAGCTGCACCGGGAGCAGCCAGGGACCCACGTGGTTCCAGGCGGATTCGGCGCGATTGCCCCCTGTACATCCTCTGCTCCAGCGAGCGACGGGACCGCAGTGCTCTGCATGCAACGGGCACCACGAGAACCCAAACTGGCCCTAACCCTGAGCCCCGATGAGCAGGCCTGGCCCAGCAGCCCCTCGGGCTCTCGGGACAGGCCTTGGTCTGAGCGGTGTCTATGCAGCCAGCCCAGCCTGCCAAGGCGGCGCTGAGAAAGCCAGGACCAGCTGGCCCCGGCTACGGCCACCCCTCCTCCATAGTTCACTGATCAGAGTTGCTGAAGTCGGGGGGGACAGCCCGTCAGGCGATCTAGCCCATCCTTAGCCCGGCTGGGTAAACAGGGCCCATGGCAGCCCCTTCCCCGGGCACCTGCCATCCTTAGCCCATCTAGCCCATCCTCCGAGCCACAAGCCACAGGACGGAGCTGCTGTTATTTGCCCATGAGGGGGCCACACAACATACAGCCTCTGTGGGATGGGCATGGGCAGACCTGCCAGGCACATACACAGTTTGCCCAGTTCACAGTTTCCCTGGCAAATAACAAGAGTTCGCCCTTCCCTACACCTCACCCACTCCCTAGGAGAGGCACTGTCACTAGAAGGGGAAACTGAGGTTCAGAGAAGGGACGTGGCCTGCCTAAGATCACATACTGAGTGAATGGCAGAGCTGGGAAGAGAACCCAGGAGTCCTGGCTCCCAGGTCCCTGCTCTAACCACTTGATCCCACTCCCCTGCCAGAGCTGGGGATAGAACCCAGGAGTCCTGCCCCCATCCCCGCTCTATCTAGTGTCATGGATCCACAAGATGTGTGCTATGCCCCAGCTTGTGAACAGTCCTTTGGAGGATCCCTTCAGAGGGCCAGACTCCCACAGGGCCCTGCTCTGGGAATGGGTGATTCCCTGTTCTGTTCATTCCCTCTGGGGCACCTGGCCTTGGCCACTGTCAGGAGACAGGATACTGGGCTAGATGGACCTTTGGTCTGGCCATTCTTCCTTCCCCCAGCCCCATCGCCTCCGAATCTGAACCCCTGGGCCCCAGCCTCCTGCTCCACCCCCAGAGCCCTGCCCAGCGAGTCCCAGCCAGACCCTGGGCAAGACATGTCTCCTCCGCAGGGACCGATGCCCCCTGCCAGGGTCTGCAGTGCTGCCCGGCAGCCTGTTCCAGCCAGAGCAGCGTTTGTCAGGCACCTGGAGCCCCCATGGGGCAGCCCTTAGCTCAGCCCAGAGACCTGCAGGCTGAAGCATCGTCCACCTGGCCGAGCAGAGCAGCTCCCCAGCCGGGCTGGCCTGGCCCCAGCTCAGGCCCTGGCCCTCTCTCGCTCCCTCGGCTGGTCAGTCCCAGGTGCGAGCAGCCAGTTCCCTCCAGTAGCCTGCTCTGTACCCCCTGCCTGGCCTGTCTCAGCCCTTTGTCCTCCAGCGGGGATCTCTGCCCAGCTTCCCTGCTGAGAGCTGGGGGGACCTCCTGCCCCTTGCCTGTGGGTCCCTGGGTGTCCAGGTGCTGGGCACTGGGGTCCCATGGCCTGGCTGGGATCCAGCATCACCACGGGGTGCGGCCAGCTCCTTAACAACCCTCTGCACTGCGGCCCAGACGGCCCCGGGACACCCACTTCCTTTTCTGCGCTGACCCTGGAGCAGACTTACCCCCCCATGGGTAACAACGCAAAGTGCGGCAGGAAACTGAGGCACGCCTAGGAGTCATCCAGACATTACAGACCATCCCCCTTCTTTGGTGACGGGTTTCGGGGCCCCGTCCCCCAGCCCACGGGGCCTCCCCAGAGCAAGTTGCCAGAGCGGTGCTGGGAGACTCTCTGCCCTCAACACCATGGCCCTGGCAGGAGCACACGGTCTTGCGGGCTGTGCCAGCTCGGCCAGGGGGTCGCTGGGCTGCCGTTCCCAAAGACACGGAGTCCAGTTGCCCTCCTGGCACAGGGTGCGCTCAGCCCACTCGGGGCCATCTGTAAATGGCTGGGGCTGGGCACAGCAGGCCGGGGAGGCCGGCGGGGAAGTGGAGCCCAGAGTCCTGGGTGACGGAGCAAGGCTGACAGGACATGGCGGGGGCTGGCGGCCGGTTCGGGGGGGCTGGGACCTGAGGGCAGGTCTAAGACCCGTCCAGGCCTGTAGTGGAGACACCCCCACACCGAGGGGCCATTTCTGTCACCCTCCTCTGAACCTTTCCGATTCGAATGTACCGGCTGGGGCTGGGGCTGGGGCGAGCAGGCCTGCCCGCCGCGTTCACGGGGTGGGGACGGGGGATTTCTACAGGGGCTTCATGGCATTTTCCCTCTTAATAACTAAACATTAAGCACGGGGGACCCTGCCCAGGCAGGCGCTAGGTGCCCTTGGGGGCAGGGCCCCACATGCCCTGGGGAGCCCCGTCCCGGCCAGGCTCTGGGATGTTGGGGGGCCTGCGGCTTGTCAGGTCAGAGGCTGAACCGGAGCAGAGGCTGGGGCAGGGGGCCGGGGAGTGGGGCCGGGGCAGGGGCCGGGAGGGAGCCGGGGACAGGGCAGAGGGACGGGAGGGAGCCGGGGAGCGGGGCTGGGGCTGGGAGGGAGCGGAGCAGGGGGACGGGACAGGAGCCGGGGAGCGGGGCAGGGGCAGGGGCAGGGGCCGGGAGGGAGCCGGGGAGCGGGGCTGGGGCAGGGGCCGGGAGGGAGCCGGGGAGCGGGGCTGGGGCAGGGGCAGGGGCTGGGAGGGAGCCGGGGAGCGGGGCTGGGGCAGGGGCCGGGAGGGAGCCGGGGAGCGGGGCTGGGGCAGGGGCAGGGGCAGGGGCCGGGAGGGAGCCGGGGAGCGGGTGGGGCGGGGGGGCCGGGAGGGAGCCGGGGAGCGGGGCTGGGGCAGGGGCAGGGGCCGGGAGGGAGCCGGGGAGCGGGGCTGGGGCTGGGGCAGGGGCCGGGAGGGAGCCGGGGAGCGGGGCTGGGGCTGGGGCAGGGGCAGGGGCCGGGAGGGAGCCGGGGAGCGGGGCTGGGGCAGGGGCCGGGAGGGAGCCGGGGAGCGGGGCTGGGGCTGGGGCCGGGAGGGAGCCGGGGAGCGGGGCAGGGGCCGGGAGGGAGCCGGGGAGCGGGGCTGGGGCAGGGGCCGGGAGGGAGCCGGGGGGCGGGGCAGGGGCCGGGAGGGAGCCGGGGAGCGCGGCAGCAGCGGACGGGGAGGCTGGTACCCAAGGAGTTAAGGGCTCGCCCCGCCCCGGCTCCGCCTCTCCGGTCCCCTCCGCTCTCAGGGCCGCGCTCGGAGCCGCAGAGAAGCGGAGACACGGAGCGGCGGAACCGAGCCCGGCCGGGCCCCTGGCGAGCCCGAGCTCCGCTGCGCCCCGGGGCTGCCCCCCGCCGGAGCGCCCTGCTCCCGATCCCCTGCCCCGGCTCCACCCGGGGCCCCGCCCCCACTCCGGCCATTGCCCCGGGCCTGCTGCAGCCCCCCGGCCCCACCCCCAGGGCATGACCCCCCGTCCCCACCCCTCCCCAGGGGCTGCCCCTGCCCCTGCGCCTGGTGCCAAACTCCCCTGGATCCCCTCTGGTCCTGGGGCCCCTGAAGGCCCCCAGGCCCTGCGCCTGTCTGTGCCCCCGCCCGGGCAGGACACTGGGCTCCCAGCTGGGGGCGAGGGGAGCTGTGCCCAGGCAGGGGGCCGAGCCGAGCACTATGTGAATGGCTCTGGGGGTGCTCAGCGCGCCCGACATGGACTGGGAGAAGCTGAGCCGGCGGCCCGGGCTCTCCCTGCGGGTGGACCGGCTGGACGAGGGTGACGGGGAGCCTCTGGCCGCCTGGCAGGGCTGTGGGCGCCTCCGGCCCTCCTCGTACCGGGCCCTGCGCAGCGCTGTCTCCACCCTGGCCCGCATCGACGACTTCTACTGCGAGAAGATCGGAGCCGGCTTCTTCTCCGAGGTCTTCAAGGTACAGGGACGGGCACCTGGGGACGGGCACCTGGGGACGGGCAGTGCGGGACGGGGACGGGCACCTGGGGACGGGCAGTGCGGGACGGGGACGGGCACCTGGGGACGGGCAGTGCGGGACGGAGACGGGCACCTGGGGACGGGCAGGGCGGGACGGGGACGGGCACCTGGGGACGGGCAGGGCGGGACGGGAACGGGCACCTGGGGACGGGCAGGGCGGGACGGGGACGGGCACCTGGGGACGGGCAGTGCGGGACGGGGACGGGCACCTGGGGACGGGCAGTGCGGGACGGGAACGGGCACCTGGGGACAGGCAGTGCGGGACGGGGACGGGCACCTGGGGACGGGCAGGGCAGGACGGACATGTGAGGATGGGCAGCATGGGATGGGGATGGGCACTTCAGGGACAGGGCAGGTGCATGGGTTGGGCACCTCAGAGGGGTAAGGGTTGGGTGCCATGGGGATGGGTGTTTGCGCAGGGTTCTGTGGAGACTGGCGCTTCAAAGGGGTGGGGCAGGTGCATGGGGATGGGAGGGCTCCATGGGGATGGCGCCTTGGAGGGGTGGGAAGCTGGGCAGTGTGGGGACCGCACACGGGGCAGGGACCATGGTTGCCTTGTGGCAGTTGCCTCTTCCTTGTCCTATGCCCCGGCTCAAGGCCTCTGGCTGGGGGTGGAGAGGGCCGGCTCAGCAACCTGTCAGAGCTGTTCCTCCCGTTCCTCTGGGCCATGGGCGCGTGGGCTGGGCTGTGGGCCAGGGGCTAGAAGATAGGAGGGTGGGTACCAGTGGGCACCAGCCGTGGGGGCTGGGTGCCAGGGAGCGCCGGCCATTGGGCTATTGTGGGGACACCCCACTCCCTCTCCCAGGTCCCTGGCACAGCTTCCCCCAGGCTCCTGCTGGCCTCTGGTCTTCGGGCCTTGGCCCTGGCATTTGGCCAGGTATGGAGTTCAGCAAGGCTGGTCGGCGTGGCCGGGAGAACCCTGAACCCCGCACCTCGTCTCCAGGACAGTGGCTTTCCCCTCCCCCACCCAAACCTGGGAGCCCAGGGTCCCTGGCGCGGGGACCTGGGTCAGGCGGCTCTGCTGTGGGCAGTGCTTCCCCTCTGCAAACCCAGAGCAACCTCACCTCGGGGCTCTGGGACGCGCCAGACACCACACGCTCTTTGCTGGGCCCTGGGCTCTTAGGCACCACAGGGCCTGGGCACAAGGAGGGGGCTTTGTTAGCTGGGGTGTCCCGTCCCCTTGGGTCTCGGGTGCTTCAGAAGCCCTCCCTTGCTGAGCTCCTGAGTGTGTGTGGGGGTGTCGGGACTCCCAGGGCAGAGGAGCAGTGTGTGTGTCCGCCCAGCCGCAGGGGAGGGGGCTGCAGTGGCTGAGCTGTGGGGGCCCCTGCCCCGGGCTCCCAGGGCAGAGGGCTGGCAGCTGGGGCCGGAGCACAGGATTGTGTGTCGCAGGGTGTGGGGCGTGTCCAGGCTGTTTACAGCTGTAGGGACAGTGGGAAGCCAAGCCAGGAAGCTCTGGGTGTGAGCGGAGCCCATGGGGCCGAGTGGGGGACAGGGGGTCCCTTGTAATTCTGTGGGGCAGGTCAGGGAAGAGCGACGTCTTTGCACCTCAGTACGGCAGCTTAGCGGGGTGCAGCTGTGGGCCCAGGTGGCGTTGGGCAGAATGGGATGGGGGTGCTGGGCCCATCGATGACCTGGGTCCCACCCACTGTTGAGCGCGGTGGCGGGGCCAGTCGCGGGCAGGGCGCTGGACCTTCCGTCTGCCTGCCGGGGGTACAGGGGAAGGCTAGTGCCCAGGGTGCCGGGGGGCAGCTGGCATCGCCGTCCCGCGTGATGGCTGGGGCTTGGGGAAGCAGTTTGATTATCAAATCGCAGCCCAGCAGAGGGGCCCTGACGCTGGCTGTGGTGGTGTGTCTGTGCCGTGGGCTGCAGGGAGTCGGGCCCTGCCCCTGTGGTTCCAGAGCTCATCAGGCCAGGGGCCGTGGGGCCAGGGTCGTGCCTGCCGCGGGGGCCGTGGGGCCGGGGTCGTGCCCGCCGCGGGGTTTCTGGAGGGGGGAGCGGCAGGGTCTGGCCTGGGCTCTCCGCACAGCCTGTCTCACGGCCACAGGGCCCTGCTCGTTTTCACAGCAGCTGTCCTGGTGCGGTGTGGGGAGGGGCCGCTGGGGGCGGGAGGCTCCTTCTCTGCCCCTCCCTCCGCAGAGGAGCCTGCGAGCGTGTGCCTGCCCGGCTGCCAGAGACGGTTTGGCAGCGTATGGCACGAGGTGTTCGAGGCGCCCACGGGTCGTGGGCAGGTAACATCCTCCCCCCCATGCCTGGCCCCATGCGGCTTCATCCCTGGGGTCCTTTCAGGGGGGAGCAGAGCTGAGAGGGGCTCCCCAGGGTGCTTGTGGGTGCTGCCCAGCATGACAGCGCGAGCTCCAGCTCCCATTTGCAGCTCTCCGGTGGGGCGCGGGGTCAGCCTGGGTCCCAGGGAGCTCGCTAGCTCCATGCCTGGAAGAGCCCCCTGAAGGTCCCCCTGCCCCTGCCCCCTGCTGTGGCCTTGGCACCTGGGGCCGGTTTGCAGGGATCTGGGTCTGGCGTGCTTTCCCCGCCCCAGGGCCCCGCAGGAGGGCTGGCTGCCGTGGGGAGCAGCTGCTGCCTTGGTGACGCTGGCCGTCCCCGCGAGAGGCTGGCCCAGGCAGGCTAAGGGTGGCATTCAACAGAGCCAGGCGGGCGGTTGGCTGCTCAGGGAATACGGCTCCATCTAATAACGACTCTCCTGCCAGCCGGCGGGATCCACACCCCCTGCGCCCGCAGCCGGCGGGATCTGCGCCCCCAGCCGGCGGGATACACGTGCCCTGCGCCCCCTGCCGGGGGTTCGGGTGGCAGCGGCGGGGGAGGGGCAGGGGGTTCGGGTGGCAGCGGCAGGGGAAGGGCCGGGGGTTCGGGTGGCAGCGGCGGGGGAGGGGCAGGGGGTTCGGGTGGCAGCGGCAGGGGAAGGGCCGGGGGTTAGGGTGTCAGTGGCGGGGGAAGGGCAGGGGGTTCGGGTGGCAGCGGCGGGGGAGGGCCGGGGGTTCGGGTGGCAGCGGCGGGGGGAGGGGCAGGGGTTAGGGTGTCAGCGGCGGGGGAGGGGCAGGGGTTCGGGTGGCAGCGGCGGGGGAGGGGCAGGTGGTTAGGGTGGCAGCGGCGGGGGAGGGGCAGGTGGTTAGGGTGGCAGCGGCGGGGGAGGGGCAGGGGGTTAGGGTGGCAGCGGCGGGGGAGGGGCAGGTGGTTAGGGTGGCAGCGGCGGGGAAAGGGCCGGGGGTTCGGGTGACAGCGGCGGGGGAAGGGACAGGGGTTGGGGGTGGCAACAGCGGGGGGAAGGGCGCAGTTGGGGGTGGGCAGCAGGGGGGAAGGGCCGGGGGTTCGGGTGGCAGCGTTGGGGGAAGGGCAGGGGTTCGGGTGGCAGCGGCGGGGGAGGGGCAGGTGGTTAGGGTGGCAGCGGCGGGGGAGGGGCAGGTGGTTAGGGTGGCAGCGGCGGGGGAGGGGCAGGGGGTTAGGGTGACAGCGGCAGGGGAGGGGCAGGTGGTTAGGGTGGCAGCGGCGGGGGAAGGGCCGGGGGTTCGGGTGACAGCGGCGGGGGAAGGGACAGGGGTTTAGGGTGGCAACAGCGGGGGAAGGGCGCAGTTGGGGGTGGGCAGCAGCGGGGGAAGGGCAGGGGGTTCGGGTGGCAGCGTTGGGGGAAGGGCCGGGGGTTCGGGTGGCAGCGGCGGGGGAAGGGACAGGGGTTTAGGGTGTCAGCAGCGGGGGAAGGGACAGGGGTTTAGGGTGTCAGCAGCGGGGGAAGGGCCGGGGGTTCGGGTGGCAGCGGCGGGGGAAGGGCCGGGTGTTCGGGTGGCAGCGGCGGGGGAAGGGACAGGGGTTTAGGGTGTCAGCGGCGGGGGAAGGGCCGGGGGTTCGGGTGGCAGCGGCGGGGGAAGGGCCGGGGGTTCGGGTGGCAGCGGCGGGGGAAGGGCTGGGGGTTCGGGTGGCAGCGTTGGGGGAAGGGCCGGGGGTTCGGGTGGCAGCGGCGGGGGAAGGGCCGGGGGTTCGGGTGGCAGCGTTGGGGGAAGGGCCGGGGGTTCGGGTGGCAGCGGCGGGGGAAGGGCCGGGGGTTCGGGTGGCAGCGTTGGGGGAAGGGCGGCTGGTCGGCGTTCAGTGTGCGGTGGGGAGGTGTCGTTCCATACCACGGGGGTCCTGGCTTAGTACAGCTGGGGAATCTCACCTGTTACCCCTGTGCTGAGCCCAGTCCCTGGTTGGACCAAAGCCCCCTCCAGAAGGGCTCCGGCGTGGATCGGCAACCCGAGCCGGGGAGTCCCTGGTCGTCTGTGCCAGCGGGAACCACCTCCCTGGCACGCATTTGGGTCTTGTTTATAATGTGCATTACTTTGGCCTCAGCTTCCAGCCCTTTGTCTCTCACTCGTCGTTTTCACCAGTGCTGGAATAATTTGTAACAGCAGCGAGGAGTCCTTGTGGTACCTTAGAGACTACCCAATTTGTCTGAGCACAAGCTTTCATGAGCTACAGCTCACTTCATCGGCTGCATGCAGTGGAAAATAATTTGTGTGTCTCTTCTCTGCACCTCTCCAAGTGTTCAACGTCTTTTTAATACTATGGCAGCCAGAGCTGGACGCAGGATCCAGCATCCGTCTCAGCAGCGCTGTGTATGGAGGTAAAATCCCCCCGCTCCTGCTCATACAGCCCCGGGCTCACCTTAGCCCTTTGCAGCAGAGCATCGCGCTGGAAGCGTTTGTTCTCTTCCTCATCCACTGTGGGCCCCGGATCCTTTTTCGAGTCGCTGTTTGCGTTTGGCTGTTTTAAACCCCATGTTGTTTGAATGGGCCCAGCTTAGCGAGTGTCACCCTGTCCTCATTACTTGCTGCCCCACCCATCTGGCTGCTCTCCACAGATCTCCCCAGATTGCTGATGACAGTAATAATCCCTGGCCTTTTCCTCAGTAGCTCTGCACAAAGGAGGGCAGGATCAGTCTCCAGTTTTACAGGTGGA